CCTGTTGTTGTTGTTGTTAAGTGCCATCAAGTCGGTTCCGACCCATAGCGACCCTGTACAAGGTTTCCGAGGGTGTAAATCTTTACGGGAGTAGAAAGCCTCACCTTTCTCCCGTGGAGCTGCTGGTAGTTTCGAACTGCTGACCTTCAGGTTCGCAGCCTGATTCGTAACTGGGTGACCCTACTGGCATTTAAAATACCGGTGGCATAGCATTCAGAATTACAGCAACTCACAAGCCACCATTGTACGACAAACTGACAGGTGAGTGGTGGAAGCTGGAGTAGCTATATAATTTCAGACAAAGTAGATTTTTGGTATTTGTTTTTAAGTGCCATTGAGTTGGTTCTGACCCATAGCGGAGATTTTAGAACATGGGAAATTATTAGAGATCAAGATGGGCATCACATAATGATAAAAGGATCAATTCTCCAAGAAGACACAACAATCTGGAATATGCATGTGTCCACAAACGGCATCAAAATATGTGAGGCAAACATTGGTAAGAACTGCATGGAGAAATTGACAAATCTACTTTTACAGTTGGAGACTTCAGCAATCCTCTGTCAGTCCATACATGACAGGTCCATCAGGCAGAAGTAAGGATAAAGTGGAACTGAATAGCATCATCAATCACTAACAGAATAATTCGCCCAATAATAGCATAATACACATGCTTCTTATGTCCACATGGAACATTCACCAAAAGATACCACATTCTGAGCTATAAAATGTACATTTATAAATTTAAAAGAATAGAAATCAGGCAAAGTATGCTCTCTAGCCACATACATTTAATCTAGAAATCAACAACAAAAAGATTATTGAAAATCCCCAAATACTCTGAGATTAAACACCACAGTTCTAAGTAACACATGGGTCTAAGAAGTCTCATAAAGAGATGAAAAATAACTAAAGTCTAATAAGAGAATAAAAATACAATCTATCAGAATTTACAGGCTATAGCTTCTCCCTTAGGAACATTGAAAAGAAAGAGCAAATTAATCTCCAAATGCACCTTCTCATCAAAACAAAAAATTTAATAAACATTAAAGTAACAGAGATGGAGAAAATGACAAGAAAATGCACAAACAAAATTAACTCAGCACAGAAAATTATGTGGAATAAAGAAATGATGGTCTTTTCAACAAATAATGTTAGAACAACTGGACATTCACCATGCAAAAAATATATAGATATAGATAAAGATCTTATACCTTTCATGAAACTTAAATGAATGACAGACGTAAACGTTAAACATGAAAATATATAATTTACAGAAGAGAACACAGGAGGAAACCTAGGTGACCTTGAGATTGACTGTGAGATTTTAGATACAACACCAAAAGAATAATCCATAAAAGAAAAAAAAATATGCTAAGTTGGACTTCTTAAAATTAATGCTTCTGCTCCGTGAAAGACACTTTTAGGGAATGAAAAGATAAGTCACAGATTGCATGTAAATATTTGCAAAACACCTAATTGATAAAGGAATTCTATCCAAAATGTACAGAGAGTCCTTAAAACTGAACAATAAAATCCAAACATCCAATTTCAGAGTTAGTAAAATATCTGACTAGACATCTCATCACAAAAGATATATAGATGGCAGGCAAGCATATGAAAAGTTACTGAGCATCATATGTTGTTAAGTGCTGTTAAGCAGGTTCCAATTCATAGGAACCCTGTCTAGGGTTTCTGAGGAGGAGTTAGTGGGTTTGAACCACTGGCCTTATGATTAGCAGTCCAGTGCTTATCCTATAGCACCACTTCTATCATATGTCATTGTTAAGTGGCATTGAGTCAGTTCCAACTCATAGCTACCCTGTATAGTGTTTCTGAGGAGTGCCTGATAGATTTAAATAGCAGAGGTTGCAGTTCAAACTGACCTTGCAGTCCAGTGTTTATCCTACAGCGCCACACCTGGTCTCTCATATGTCATTTGGGAGTTGCAATGAAAACAATTAGGTACCATATGGCACCTACTAGAATGACTAAAATCCAAACACTGCACACCTATTACCATGGCTGCTCTCTAAAACACCAAATGGTGGGAAGAATGTGAAGCATTTTTTGCTTGTGGGAAAACAAAGTAGCAAGACTGTCATGTTGGATATCTAGTAGTTTCTAGCACAGGTAAACATAGGCGTACCATATGATTAGCAATCTTGCTTCTAGGTGTTTTACCAAATAAATTGAAAACGTATGTCCATACAAAAACCCATATGCAGGAATGTTGATAGCATCTTTATTCATAATTTTCAACACTTAGACACACCCATGCTGTCCTTTGATAAGTGAATGCATAAACAAACCGTGGTACATCTATACAACAGTATTTTTCAGTAATAAAAAGGAATAAGCTACCAAATGATGAAAAGACATACAGAATTTTAATAACTTCAATAACCAATTAAATGCACATTGCTAAGCGAAAGAAGCCAGTCTGGAAAAACTCCATACTATATGATACCAACTATATGACATTGTGGAAAAGGTGAAATTAGACAGTAAAAAGATCAGTGTTAGCCAAGGAATGGAGAAAAAGGAAGACAGGAATTTTTTATTGAAGCAAATCTCTTCTTTATTATGCTATAATGGTAGAGATAATAACAATATGCATTTATTAAAACTCATAGAAATGCACAACACTAAGAGTGAACCCTAATACAAACTGTGGTCTTCAGTGAATATAATGTATTAATATTGGCTAAGAGTCTCTGCGTAATGCAAATGTGCAAGCTCTTGACTTCTAGCCTAAAGGTTGGTGGTTCAGACCCACCCAGCGGTACCTTGGAAGACTGGCCTAGCTATCTGATTCCAAAAGGTCACAACCTTGAAAACCCTATGGAACAGTTGTACTCTGCACATGTGGCATATCTATCAGTTAGAACTGACTCACAGCAACTAACAATATTGGTTCATCAATTGTAGCCAATGTACCACACTAATAAAAGGTATTAATAATAACTGAAACTGTGCAGAGGGTACAGAGGTACTTTCTGTGCAGTTTTCTGAAAACTGCTCTAAAAATAAAATGTAGTAAAAAGGGAAGGCTGTATGTATACAGATCCAGGCCTTTCCAGACTCACTACACTTAGATCTATGCTCCGGCTTTTCAACCTCAGTATCTTGTTTGGGGGTTGGAGAGGGAAACTGTCTTATGCATTGTCAAGTATCTGTCAGCATGGTATGGTGCTGTGGGTTAATCCTCTGGACTTCAAGGTCGGTTTGAACTGCAAGGTCAGCAGTTCAGTCTTACCAGCCACTTGAAAATTCTACACAGGATTGCTGTGAGGTGGAACTGATTTGATGGCACTTAACAACAACAACCCACTAAATGCATTAGCAACCCTGTGATCCAAACCTAGTTGCGGCAACTAAAAATTTCCAAGGCTGTACATCTTTATGTTCTGTGGAGTTAGTGTTAGATTTGAACTGCCAACTTTTTGAGTAGCAGTCTACTGCTTATCCTACAGTGCCACCAGAACTCCTGATCTATGCTATTAGTGTGTGGTATGTCGCAGGCACAACTGAGATAAAAGTAGTGAAAACATACCAGTAGATGATATAGTTTCAATTAAAGGAAAGGATTAGAAAATCTAGAATGGACAGATTCATATTTCATTGAGTACCTGCATGCCATACCACATACTATATCTCATTCTTGTTTTCAGATTTAGTAAACATCACTATCCTTGTGCGGTACACTGAGAACAGAAGCAGAGACTCCCTCGGACCTTAGCAGAATGGCAGATTCTTGAGCTTTTGTGCTAGCTTTATTACCAGTTTGGATGTGTCTGTGGATCCAGGGAAGCACTTTAGTAAGATCTGTGAAGATCCCCGGGGATCCTAGGTCATTTTTCTCCACATTAGTTCTCCAGCCTCGACCACAGCCCAAGCCCCAGGAAGTCACACCAGCCAGAGTCCAAGTTCCTTTCTTATTCCGGCACATCAGGGAACCTCCTGAATCTCCCTGCAGGGAAGATGTCTTTGTCAGTATCTGTGCCTTCAAGTGGTTCACTCCTTTCCCCAACAAGGATGTTAGATGAGGATCACTGAAATCCCTCCACTTCTAATAACACAAACTCAGTCTCCAGAACAGTCAAGCACAGTCCCCATTTGATCCTCAAATACTACTTGAGCCATCAGTTCCTTCTCTTTTTTCCCCATTCCAGGTCTTCATTAAAGTATCAGACTTTCTTCCTTTCCCTGTCTCATTCTATACTTTAAAATCTTACCCTGACTTCAGGTCTTAACCAGCAAGAAGAGTGGAGGAAAAATAAGGTCCACATTAGCTACAAGGTGGAAAATCTATAAATAGTTAAGAGCCAGTCTTTTTAGGTATGAGAGCACCCTGAGCCCATTGCTGGCATTTTCTCTGTCATTTGGTTTCTGGAGAAGGCAGAAGACCTCCCCTGAGCTCAGTTCACCCTCTCTACTCAAAACAAGGTACTTAAATTAGCGCTGATGCTTCTTTCCAGAATCCATTTTCTCCTTTAACTTTCTTTCTGCACCTCACAAAGCCAAAGGAAGCTGGGCCTGAGGCCTGCCAGCCCAGCAGTTCCTGCCTACCTGACACGCATCTCTTCCTCCATCTGGAAAGCCTGTGCAGAGAAAGGTCCCTCCACTGATCGGCTTCTTGAGGGTTAACAGAGCTGCTGAACACTCTTTCTGGGTCAAAATGGGCAGGTTCACTTCCTGCAGGACTTGTGGGAGGAGGCCATCTGGAAAACAGACAGGAGCCCTGGCAAATAACTTTTTCACCCTTTCTGAGTACAAGATAACCTCATTTAGATTTGTGTCTTTTGGAATGATCTGAAATCCTAACTACATTATGATGCTCTCTGTCTTCAAAAATGCTCACACAACTGTTTTAAAAATAATTTTTTTCTTTTGTGGCTATCCACTAATAATTAGGAGAAATGACATTGAAACTCTTACTTTCTGCCAAGCGGCCCCAGCCTGCAGTTGTACAAATAAATCCAGCTTCAAATTGCTCTCCTGGCTCTGGGAGACACATGGGCACCACAAACTGGCCTGCAGAAAAGAGAAAAGGCTTATTTCATCCACCGGATAAAGAACACCATAAACAATCACCAATTCACATCTAAATGGTCTCCTATAGACCATGTGAGAGATGCGATATTTCTTTCTGGTATCTCCAGGGGCTATTTGTCAGACAAAAGACCCTCTTCTGACTCACATAATTCTACCAAAGCAAAACAGATTCTGGGCAGTGTCTTCCACACCAAACTCCTGTCTGAAAGCTCTTACAGTACAACTGCTGGGCATATGCTACATAACATGGACTGTGCTATGAAATGGAAGATATGGAGCACACAAGGTAGGGAATTCATGGTGAGCCAAGGCTTTCCTCCTGGCCTCAAATGTTTACCAAAATGAAAAGTTCCAGCCATCTTCAAAAGGGCAATATCGTAGTCCATTGGTTTCTTGATGGTAAAATATGGGTGTATGATGATGGTTTCAATGGTGAGAGTTTGCTCTCCTGGTTCTGTCTGGCTCAAGTCATGTTCTCCAGCAGTAACATTCAAAGTTGATGCAGTATTTCTATGAAGAGGAATCAGTAAAGTGGGTGGCTGTTATTGAGCATCTAAATACATTATAATGGTTGACAAGCTGGCGTCCTCAAAATGGACCATAATAGAACTTCTAAGCAGAGAAAACAAGAATGATTCCAATACTATTGGAAAAGATGCAGTTTCCCAATTTCATTGGAGGACTAGAATGTAGGGTGGCATTGTGTAGCATCCAGGATATGATAAATTCAATACTTTGTAATGTTATTTATAAATATCTAAAGATGCATATACCTTATAAATCCAAGGTCTGAAACTACAGAGAAGCTTTCCTCAACTACTTTAGGAGGTTGACCTGGCCTTAATGCCAGTGTGATTCTTTGAGAATTATTAATGTGTTTCAACAAATAGTGTGCTTCAATGTCAAAGATCTTATGCACAGTGTTTATTATAAAGGACCATTGATTCATTAGCTGTCCCATAGAGTACATGCACTCTGGGCTACCGAAGTGATTACAACAACAGGATGCAGTGATTTGATCTTTTCCTTACATCCCTTATGTTTTATAATTTATAGAGTTGGCATGATACAGGAAAGACCATTCTGTTTCCTCAGATTTTGGGCAATGCTATCTGAAAGGAGCTTGAAAAGATGCATTAGACATGGATTCAGAGTTTTAGAAGTACCATTTTTATGTATTCTTCATTCCCATAAGTGATTTTTAATTTTATCTTTAACTTTCTTTTTTCTTTTAAGTTTTTATTGTGATTTGAGTGAAAGTTTACAGGGCAGATCATCAGTTTTACACTCAACAAATCACATAATTTGTTTCATTACAATGATTATAATCCCCTCAATATACCATCAGTTAACACTATTTCTCTCTATACATTTTAGCTCTTTTTTAAAAAACAAAACAAACCCCCAAAACACTCAGGCATGTATAATAATTTAAACCAGCATAGGGCACATTCTGCAAGCCTGCCTCCTGGCCACCAGCTCTCAGTCCCTCTCTTTCCATGAATCTAGAGTTCTCAGCTGCTCCCTCTCTCCATGCCTCCATCTCTGCCTCTATCTCTGGTGCTGCTGCTTCTCTGGATAAGGGCCCACATTCCACTTGTGCTCTTCTCCCTTGATGGCCCTAGGGTCCTCTGTTTATGAACTGTAAGATTAACTACTCTCCCATTTTTGTTCCAAAACTTCTACCTTTACAATTGTGACAGTCACAATTAGTCATGATAACAATTATTCACTACTGAATCATAAGAATCTTATCCCCATCTCTTTTCACCAGACCCATCTAGACAAGATGAAAACTATTCAGTGGGGATTCTGTTTCCCCCTGCATACTCTTAAACTAAACTCCCTCTTGAAAACTTGTAAGCCAGTCACTTCATGCCTTTTTCGTTTCCTCATTTTAGATAGCCAATGTCTAAGTTGCCCATCCCTATCTACCCTGTACACAGAGGGGATAGCATTGATATTTGATGTGAAGACTCCTGATGTTATTTTGAGCTACTGCATTCATGAGTATAGGTCAAGTCCATAAAATTGTAGCAATTTACCCTAGTTTCCTTTATTAAAAAACTTTTTTTTATCTTCTTCTAATCGAGTTCTGATTATCAAGCCTTCAAAGCTAGGTCAAATGAGTACTATCTGCAAGTTTGGTTGTTCTTGTGCGTCTCCCCTCACTTCATATCAGTTGGATGCTTCACTCTCAGCTCTAGCCCTCTGTGGCTATGTTCTTGTTCATGGGCTCAGGTGTCCCCAGGTCTCACCACACTTTGGACCAACCAGCCCTTCCTCTTCTCTCGCTCTCTCATCTCCAGGTCAAGGGGAGTCTATAGAATGTGGTTGAACTCAGCCCATTTCTTCAATGCTTCCTTTCCCCCTGTTCCACTCACCAGTAGACCAAGATGGTAGCCAGCAAGCTTACATGCCTGTTCATGTAGTCCCTTTGTGTTTCAGTCTTAGGGGGTGTTATTTTTAACTTTCTTTGGTAAATTGAGTAAAGCTTTACAGAGAAGATTATCAGTTTTACATTCAATAAATCATACACTTTGTTTCATTTCAATGATTGAAATCTTCTCCATGCAACAACCATTCTCCCACTTCCTTTCTTTAGTTTCTATTTCCATTCCACCCACCTTCCATCCCTTCTCAACTTTGTCCTTAGCTAAATGTTGCCCTTTAGGTCTTGAATGATTGACCATTCCATGGTGAGTATACCTTTCTAGTATTGTTGTCCCAACTATATACCTTATCTACTGCTTGCCTGAAAATTGGGCCACAGAGTTGAGTTATGTTCCAGACTTAAAGGATGGTTGAAGCCCATACTGGTAGGTTCCTCTAGTCTCTTTCTGACCAGTAAGCCCTGTCTTTAAAAAAAACAAATTTCTGCCACTCTATCTGGGACTTACTAATGTGATCTCTTTCAAATCAGTTGTTAGTGGTAGACAGGCACCATCTAGTACTTCTGATCTCAGTCGTAGTGACTAATGCTCACCTGCTCCATTAGTCTATTGGATTAGTTTATTCCAAGTGTCTTTAGGTTTTATTACTCTTCTTTCTTTCTTTCACATATGAGATACCAAGTTAACACCTTTGCTGTTGTTTTTAGGTGCCACTGAGTCAGTGCCAACTCATAGCAACCTTATGCACAGCAGAATGAAACACTGCTCGATCCTGGGCCAACCACACTACTGTTGCCACACTTGAGTCCATCGATGCTGCCATTTGGCCAATCCATCTCGTTGGGGGTTTTCCTCTTTTTCTCTGACCCTCCACCATACCAAACATGATATCCTTCTCCATGACTGGTCCCTCCTGACAATATGTCCGAAGTATGAGAGATAAAGTTTGCCATCTTGGCCTTCAAGGAATACTCTCGGTGCACTTCTTCCAAAACGGATATATTGGTTCTTTTGGCAACCCATGACACTTTCAGTATTCTCCTACAACAAAATAACTCAAAAGCATCAATTTTTCTACAGTCTTCCTTATTCACTGTCCAGCTTTCGCGTGCATATGAGGTTATTGACAATACCATGGCTTAGGTCAGGCACACCTTAGTCCTCAAGCTGACATCTTTGCTCTTCAACACTTTAAAAAGGTCTTGTGCAGCTTATTTGTGTAATGCAATATGTCATTTGATTTCTTGACTGCTGCTTCCATGAGTGTTGATAGTTGATCCAAGAAGAATGAAGTCCTTGACAACTTCA